TGACTGCTTCCAGCTTGCGCCACGCGCGCTGATTCGATCGTTCTACAGTTCTTAGTGTTCCGTGTTCCAGCCGTTTCGGCTCGTTTTCTTTTCTGTATTTCACGTTCATGGAAGCACATGATCGCCTTTACTGTTTCTTTCTCCGCGTTGTTACGGATTTGCTTTATCCCTTTTTTGAAATCCTCGTCCGCTCTTATTTTGGCCCTCGCCCTATATTTTAGGGATTCTGGGCAAGTTCCTTCTTCTTTGTGCCTTTGTAGCGCCTTGATCGCGTTTTCGGCCTGGCTTATCTTGTCCTCCGCAGATAGATTTTGGCTCGTTTTTCTTCTTTCCGTGGATAGGCTGTAGCGGCGACGTTTCTTGTACTGCTCTGTCCTTGGTCGGCTAGTGCTGTTCCGGCTTTGACGTTGTTGTTTAGGTCTTTTCCCGCTAGGCATTTGGTACGGAGGGATTTGTTCGTCATCCTCGGACTTACCAAGTAGATCATTTTCGCGGGCGGTGTCATATGCGGCTTCTATGTTTTCTTTGTTCTCAATGGCATTGCTTTGGCCCGGGCGTTTAGTAGCCCATCTGCCGTTAGAATGTCTTCCGACATTTTCCGTCAGGTGGTCAGGCAAGACCGCGGTTTGTATCCTAATCTTGTGGATCTCGTCAGTTGCCGATTCACTGAATAGACTGTTGCACCCGTACGCAATACAATATTATCTAACCATGACGAGAACACGCTGTATTCTTAAGAAAATGAATAAAAATGCCTCCAAACGTAGCCGTTTGCTTCTATTTTACTTGAAAGTCTTACCTGTGTGACCCGATAGCCTTGTTTCGAAACTTCAAAGTCCGCTGAGCTCTCGAACAATGGGCGTAAATGCTATAAGGGCTATTAAAGAGTGCTACGTACCGCCTATCGTGCATTTGTCTGCACATGAAAAGGCAAACGGAATAACTGATTGTGGCCCTTTACGGCCAGAATAATAATGACAGTTTTGCCTCTGACGAAGAGGCGGCAGTAAGCATTGTTATAGCCTACAAGCAGGTCGATAGTCCTATAAAGTATACAGGTTATGCGTAGGCTAATTAACTACTCAGAGAAAAATACAGTCTTAGGTTTTTATTATAGTTGCTTACTGTGAGATTATTGCGCACAGATAACGGAATATCATGCCAAATAATAGGAGCTTGCCAAGTGAGAGAAAATTGATACTTATGAGAGGTTTTATGCAGGTTAAAACGTGAACGAGTCAAATAATTGTGATATTCAGAATTAAAATGAAGCATCAAGGAAACAGGAGCAGGTAAATGGTTATTAAAATGTGAGAATACAAAACAGGCAACATGGAATTTATAAATTGAGTAAAGTGAAAGAATATCATGCTTAGAAAAAAGGGGTTTAGAGGATATGAGTGGAGGAGAAAAAGTGATTATACGAACGGCTTTCCTTTGACTACATAAAGGAGTTTAAGGTAAGAAGCATAAGTAGATGCCCATATTAAGCTGCCATTATTTATGTAAGGTAAGAAAAGAGAATTAGATAAGGTTTTCAAAGCATTCAAAGGTAAGTATCGCCTTGATTTGCACTTCGAGACTCCTATTACTTTAGAGACTTTATCACAGACAGAAGAGATATGCGGTTTTGCAAGATAAATTTTCATGAATGATCATCCCGAGAAATTTGTCTTCCTGCACACGCATGATGAGAGAATTATTTATTTTTATGTTTATATCTGAGGAGTCAATTTGTTTACGTCGAGGGTGAAAAATGATGAATTTAGACTTGGCAGGATGAACAGTGAGTTTTTTAGCATTAAACCAAGAAGAAACATGAGAGAGAGCTCTACATTGAGAATACTTCCTAAGGTAGCCAGGTCATCATGACAAAGAAAGATATTTGTATCGTCAGCAAAGAGAATGATAGACAAGAGGTTGGAGACATGAAAAAGATCATTAATGTATAAAATAAAAAGTAAAGGTCCAAGAACTGAACCCTGTGGAATCCCACAAACAACCAGATTATATAAAGAGGTATGGTCGTGGACCACAATGCACTGCTGTCTGTGGGATAAATAGCTAGTCAGCCAGGTTAATGGGATATATTACCTCTAATGCCATAAAAAGTTAGTTTGTCCAGAATTATTTCATGATTAAGTGTATCAAGTAGTTTCTTGAGATCAATGAAGACAGTGTACTGATTGTTTTCAAAACCATCATAAATATTATTGACAAGTTCTAAGATGGCCGTAGCAGTAGAGTGATGTGGTCTGAATCCATACTGGTAATGATTAAGGATATTAAACTTGTGACAAATCCTGATAAACGGCCTGAGGTAAAATAGCTTCTCGAGGACCTTAGAAAAGCAAGGGAGAATAGAAATAGGCTGCTAGTTTGAGAACAAAGAAGGGTCATCACTTTTAAAAACTGGGATAATCTTTGCGATTTTGAGTTTATCAGGAAAGACACCATGCTCAAGCGATAGATTGTAAATATCGAATAAAGGAGCAGCAAGTAAATCAATTGTTTCTTTGATGGGATACATAGAAAGACCATCCACACCCTCACATTTGCTATTTTTTAGACAATGAACAGTAGAGGCCACCTCATCAGGAGAAGTGGGATTTAGAGAGAAACAGTCAACAAAGTGACCAACAAGGAAATCTTTATAAGAAAATCGAGTAGATAGATCTTTACTGGCCAGGGAGGGTCCTATGTTAGCGAAGAAATTATTAAAGTTACTTAAGAAATACGTGAAGGGTCTGAACATATACCGGTACTGTCTTTCATATGACAAAAATGTTGTTCCGATTTCTTTTTAGAGATAATCTGCTTAATAACTGACCAAGTCTTCCTCAGGTCTGAGCTAACCGAGACTAGTTTGTCATGAAAATATTTTTCCTAGCAACTCTAATGAGAAAATTGTACTTATTTCGATACTTGTTCAGTTATATCTAGTTTTATTTGATTCAGTAGGGTTTTTTTGGAATTGTTTATAAAGAGAGTTCTTCCTGTTACAGGATATAAAGAGACCTGTTGAAAACCAGGGTTTAGAAGAATGCCTGGATTCAGGGAATGCAGGTTTAAGTGGAAATGACTTATGATAATTATACTGAAATAAGAAGACTAGAGAATGTGTCATATGAATCATTGGGGGAGACAGAGTTATAGATAACAGACCAATCAATGGTTTCCAATAGTCCATTTTACAGATGTGTGCTTGGTTGCCAAGCCTTTGAATGGGAGTGAGGCTAGGGTTGACCTTGTTATGATACAAACCTTGCTGCCTTTCAAATGTAAATCACTTTGTTATCATGCTAAGTAGATACAGGTCTCTATCACAACAAGGTCACCTTCAGCTTCACTCTGAATCAAAGGCTTGGCAACTAAGTACACAACTGTAAAATGGCCTATTTACACCTGAATGCTGCAACTGTTGCAGAGTTAATGAGGCGTGTCAATCTCTTTCTGGAAGGTGTTTCAGCATCTAATTTTAGACGAGTGACTTAGAAAATTGGGAGATGATCAGATAAATCAGAGTAGAAAATACCACTATTCATACAGTGTTTGATATTATTTGTAAATATATTATCAATAAGAGTTGCAGTTGTGGAAGTTATGCGAGTTGGCTTAGAAATCAGAGGATTCAGACTATTAGATACCATAAGATTGATGAACTCATTAGAAGGTTGGTGGGATTGTGAATTAAGGATGTTAATATTAAAATCGCCCGTGAGATAAGATAGCTTATTCTAAAAGCTGATAGTTGATAAGATGCCGCAAGAGAGTTGTTAAACTCAGTAACCGAGGCACCAGGGGGTCGATAAAAACAGCCAACAATGATATTCTTTCTGTGTGGTTGTATAATTTCAACAAGGACTGATTCATACAGAGTATTATCAGAGGATTGAAGATCAGTTATAAGCTTGAATTTTAAGTGAGGCTGAATAAAAATACCAACCCCGCCACCCGCTTTATGTTCTCTGTGACTAGAGATAAAATGGTAGCCAGGCAAATGGAATAAATCAGAATTAGACCTGTGTAACCAGGTTTCAGAAACAGCAATAATAGAGAAAGACCTGTTAAATGTAAGAAGAAATTCTGATAAGTCATCAAAGTGTTCAGGCATGAATAGTAATATGAAGTGAGGAAAATGTATCAGGACAAAGTGGTGATATTTTATTAAATTCTGTGGAGGTTAGATAGGGGCAGCTAGAAAGTAATCGTGAATTAGCTGCAAAAAAGTTAGCGTCGAGATCAAGGTTCGAGCTCATTAATAAATGAGATATCTCAGGGTCATCAAAAAAAGGGTTGAATTTCTTCTGTTTAAGCAATTCCTTATCAAAAACACCCTGAAAACTGAAATCGTACAGTGCAAGAAGAAATCAATATCATTGTCGAAATGATTGAATGGAAAAATACTAGCCAGACATGCTGAACAGTACCAGTCATCACTCAATTTAGACATAGCACTGTATTCTAGTCTGGTAAAAGGAGTACATCCAAGGTGTGTCCAATTATAACAGCTATCACAGAAATTGCCCGGTGATTATTATGGATATTAAATCTGCAAACTGTGTTACGAGGATCGAATTATTTTTACTGAATCTGTCACGCAATCCCAGACTTTTCTAGAATTATCTATAATCTGTAATATTCCAGAAACTTCTTTCATGTGATTCAGCAGTTTCCAAAAATAGTACAACTTGTAATACGCTATAAATAGTAATAGAACATTCTAGATAACTAAAGTAAATGTATAAAAGCTGGCTTGTGAGAAGTACAAAGGAGACTTGCCCGAGGGCATACCCTCGTGGCCGGCTGACTGAAGTTGTGGAAGCTACGATATGACGACGCTATGACCTTTTGACTTTGCGATATCCGGAGAGAAGAAAGTGATGAAAAAGACGATAGTCGAGAGAGGAAGAAGATAGAGAATACAGAGTTTACTATGGAGTCCTCCGGTAAAGTTTGTGTACAAGGAAAGAATGTGATAAATCAAGAAAGCCAAGCGCTGTGGTCTTCAGTCGGTGGAAGTTGGAATTGGAAGTTGATCAAGACGACGAACACTTACACGGCATGAAGGATTGTAAGCCTGCTTTATGAACTGCTTAACTTAATCTTTAACCTA